TGATAACCATGCACTTTTTAGGCTGGTATTCTTGTGACCCTTCAAGAGCTGCCACAGGTGCTCCTGTGTTGATGGGTCGGAGAAGCAGCCCTTTTTCTGCTGGTCAGGATCAGTTACTGCTGCTGGTTTAGTGATTCCTCCCCTTGCCTGCTGCTCCCTGCCATAAGGAGTCCAAAGTGCCTTGTTACGTTTCCTGACCTGAGTACTCTATAGGGGACAGGACCTCTAGTTGTGGGAATGGGTCACTGGGATGGATGGTGAGTAAGGCTATTCCTGCTTCTGCCCCATGGTTTTTGGCTATATATATATATAAAACACAGCATCATATAGAGTCCTATATTCCAGCTTGTCTCCATTATAACACTGTGTTGATTACAGTGGGTTTATAATAAATCTTGAACTCTGGTAGTGTGTCTCCCAACTTTGTTTTTGGCTGTTCTAGTTCTTTTGCCTTTATATAAATTTTAGAATCAACTTGCTTATTTCTACAAAAATTTCTGTTGAGATTTTGAGTGAAATTGTGTGAAATATGTAAATCAGTATGCAGAGATTTGACAGATTAACAAAATTGAGTCTTCCAAATCACGAACATGGTATATCTCTCAGTTTATTTAGGTTTTAAATTTCTCAGCAGTGTTTTGTAGCTTTACATACACAGACTCTACACAAGTTTTGTTAGATTTAGATTTAAGTAGTTCATAGTTTTTGGTGCTATTGTAAATGCTATTTCCCTGTAGATCATATTTCTCCCCTCCTTAAAAATACTCATTTGATCCTTTACTCGTAATGGAATCCTTATTCACTTGGAATAAGGAATAAGGAATGACTTCTGAGCTGGGAGCTCAAAGGTTTCCTTAATTTGACAACTAATTCTTTCTCACCTCCCCTCCTCCTCCCCCTTCCTCCTCCTCCTCCTCCTCCTCCTTGTCGTCCTTTCTCCCTCCCTCATCCATCCTTCTAAGGGATTTCTGCTTCCCCATGAAGAAGCCTAGCTAGCCTACTAGAAGATGATACCACATGGAACAGATGCCAGTCATCTCAGCTGAGGCCCCAAAGCAGGCCCAGCTGATGGGCCACTGGACTGCAGCTGCTGATACCTGGGTGCTCAGCTGAGCCCCAACTTGAGACCTCAGTCCACAGGCCGATGCTAACCACTAAGGAAAATCAGCCAGGGCATCTCTCATTCTGCCCTCAAATATTTTATGTTCCTGATATACCTTTAAACAAAACTGAAATGTAATCATTAGCAGTTTTCAGCATTTAAATGGCATAGTATTCTTCTAGCACTACTGGGCTAGAAGAATATGTTGAATGGGTACAGGGTACATTTGAAATCCAGAAAATTGCTATGGGTTTGCCTAACCCATGGGTGTGTGGGAAATGTCAGCCTCAGAGTAGTCAACTCCTATAATAATCACTGCCCGGCTGGCTCTTTTATACTAAGGGCTTAGGTTACTTCTGAAGGCAAAGAGGCAGGCTCAGGCTGACAAAAGCTATAGATGCTGCAAATTTCTGCTGATGCTAATGGAATAATTTCAGTATATAGTATAGTAAGGAGTTTAAGTCATTGTGTCCTCTGTCATTTAACGGACAAATTTATTAAAATATAAACTGTGTTTTTCTTGTGGTTTAGATGCCCTTGTTGATTAGGTATTGAATTCTAATTTGTTTCAAGTAAATTCATCAAAGGATACTAGTTCTAGTATAGATTATTTTCTAATTATTATTTCTACTAGAAGCTCAGTGCACAAATTCATGCATGGGTGGGGTCCCTTGGGGTGGCCTGTGGGGATTGGACCCCAGCTCTTGCCCCCAGGCTTGCAGCCCTGCAGCCCGCCTGGCACCCCGCTGTGGCCTGGTGTCGCCCTCTCACCGGCTCCACTATCCTGCCTGCGGGGAGATTGATCAGGGCTGGCTCCCTGCTGCCACTGGTCACCGTCCGCAGGGCGATCAGCGGGGCAGTCGGGCCCCCGCTCTCACCTGCCTTGGCCTGGTGCTGCCTGCTCACCTGCTCCACCATCCTGCCACAGTCCTGCCCTTGTCGGGGCCCATTGGGGCCGGCAGAGAGAGTTAGAAACATCAACGAGAGAGGAACATCGATCAGCTGCCTCCTGCACATCTCCTACTGGGGATGTGCCCCCAACCCAGGTACATGCCCTTGACTGGAATCGAACCTGGGACCTTTCAGTCCGCAGGCCGACGCTCTATCCACTGAGCCAAACTGGTTTCAGCAATATAGGATTATTTTTTGCAATCAATATTTGGCAGTGGAGGTGGCAGTAGGAAACCTGAGTTTTTTGTTGGATGTCGTCAGTACCTTTTCTAGCCTCAGTGTACAAATGTGGAGTCTGTACTGGATCATTTCTAAGGAACTTGAAATTCTGGAATCCATGGTCATGTTAGTATTAAATTTATAATTTATAAAGCAGAAACAAATGTAGCCCACTAGAGGGAGCACTGTTCTTTTATAATGTTCTCAATTTTATTGAAAAAAAGATCTTTCATATAAGAATGTATATCTCGTAGCTGAACAATTTATATAATAATGATAAAATGAACGCCTGTTTACCCACAATTTGCATCTTTTCCTCAGAGGTCATCAATATCTTGATTTCTGTCTTAATCATGCTCTCACTTCTCTTTAGTGTTTTAACACTTAACACATATCCATAAACAGTATATTGATTTGTTTCTGAAATATTTTTCTGTTTTGAACTTTATATAAAGGATATTAAAGAGTGTGTGTGCTTCTCAGATTTTTTCTTATATTTCTCATGATTTTTGAGATTCATCCATGTTGATATATTTAATTATAGTTCCTGAGATTTTTCTCATTTATATTCTATTTTGTTATATCAATATACTGTATTTGCTGGCGTATAAGACGACTGGGTGTATAAGACGACCCCCTAACATTTCCACTCAAAATACAGAGTTTGTTATATACTCGCCGTATAAGACTACCCCCTCTTCCGCACACCTTCCTCACACCAAATAAAAGGTAAAACAATATCAGATTTGTTTTTAACATTTTAATTTATATTCAAATGCTTATGACATGCAGGAAAACTGTCACAAGGCTGTATGTAATCAAACATATACATAAAACAGTGAAAGTTTATTACCGGTAAACATACCGGTAATTCACTAAAGAAAACACACTCTATAGACTGGTACCGTAGATGCTTCTCAGGAACACAGGCAAGGAGCCCACAACCTAGAGGGACTGTCAATGATAGAAGTAAGATAACAAATAG